GAACAGCTATACAAAAAAATCGGATCTGAGAAAAAAAAATCGGAAATAAGCACTAAGGCTCGCAGTGTGAACGTAGCCTTAGCATACAGTATGAGTGAAGTATCGACAGGGAACTGTCTAGCTCATATTTATATGAACAATGCCTGAAACTTGGTATATATCCACACTGAGATCAGCTGAAAGGCTTTACCTCAGTATGAATTAACATGTGAGTCTCAAGGTATCCTTTACGTGTGAAAGATTTTCTGAAGAGTGTTACCAAATGATCATTAATGTGTCCTTTCTGTGTAAAACTCTATCCACACTGAGAGCAGCTGAAAGGCTTTATTCCAGCATGAATTAACATGTGATTCTTAAGGTTTGCTTTACGTGTGAAAGTCTTTCCACACTGAGAGCAGCTGAAAGGCTTTATCCCAGCATGAATTAACATGTGATCCTTAAGGCTTGCTTTGCGTGTGAAAGACTTTCCACACTGAGAGCAGCTGAAAGGGTTTTCTGAAGTGTGAGTTACCAAATGATCCTTAAGTTGCCTTTTCTTTGTAAAACTCTTTCCACACTGAGAGCAGCTGAAAGGCTTTTCTGAAGAGTGAGTTAGCAAATGATCCATTAGGTGTCCTTTCTGTGTGAAACTCCTTCCACACTGAGAGCAGCTGAAAGGCTTTTCTGAAGAGTGAGTTAGCAAATGATCCATTAGGTGTCCTTTCTGTGTGAAACTCCTTCCACACTGAGAGCAGCTGAAAGGCTTTTCTGAAGAGTGAGTTAGCAAATGATCCATTAGGTGTCCTTTCTGTGTGAAACTCCTTCCACACTGAGAGCAGCTGAAAGGCTTTTCTGAAGAGTGAGTTAGCAAATGATCCATTAGGTGTCCTTTCTGTGTGAAACTCCTTCCACACTGAGAGCAGCTGAAAGTCTTTTCTGAAGTGTGAGTTAGCGAATGATATTTAAGTAGCCTTTTCTTTGTAAAACTCTTTCCACACTGAGAGCAGGTAAAAGGCTTTATTCCAGCATGAATTAACATGTGATCCTTAAGGCTTGCTTTATGCGTGTAAGACTTTCCACACTGAGAGCAGCTGAAAGGCTTTTCTGAAGTGTGAGTTACCAAATGATCCTTAAGTTGCCTTTTCTGTGTGAAACTCTTCCCACACTGAGAGCAGGTAAAAGGCTTTATTCCAGCATGAATTAACATATGATTCTCAAGGTTTGCTTTGCATGTGAAAGTGTGTCCACACTGAGAGCAGCTGAAAGGCTTTTCTGAAGTGTGAGTTACCAAATGATCCTTAAGTTGTCCTTTCTGTGTGAAACGCTTTCCACACTGAGAACACGTGAAAGGCTTTTCCTCACTATGAATTCTCATGGGATTCATAAGGCGTCTTTTATGTTTGTAAGTGTTTCCACACTCAGAGCAGCTGAAAGGCCTTTTGACGTCTGTTTTTTTAATGCTGCAACTCACTGATTTTTCTCCAGTGACATCATGATCTTTCTGATCCTGATGTTTCTCCTCCACCTCATTCAGATCGTGTCCTTCTTCTTTCACTTTCATCAGGCCTAAAATCAATAAATAAGAATCAATTCGGACATTTGGAAAAAGGAAAACATTTGTGTACTAGGGCTGCAACAAATGATTATTTTGATAATTGATTAATCTAACGATTATTAAAATGATTAAAGGGGGGGTACAATGCTGTTTCATGCATTCAGAGTTGTTTACACTGTTAAAGAGTTGGATTCTCATGCTAAGCATGGACAAAGTTTCAAAAAATAATTTGGATGTCTGATACAGTATTTCTGTGTCAAAAATCTTACTTCCGGGTTCGTACAAGTTTCTGAGAGTTTTTTTTTCTTGATCGTGGCTCTTCATGACGTAAATGAGGGTGGAACTCCTTATATGGGCAGCAACGGAGTGTCAGTTTTTGTGTTTGTTGACGAACGTTTTATAAACAAGGTCCAGTTCGACTCTGGATTTGCACATTGTTTGATACTGAAAGACCGGAGCGAAAGATCGCACCCATCAACGCGCTTCATTCGGCTGCACGGGACTTGCTCGGGAAGAATGTCTCCAAAGTGTGTTTTTGGTTGTAAGGGAAAGATAACTCAGCGTTAACCCATAACCCATTCAGCATAACCCAGCGTTATGTAAACAGTAGGGCTGCACAATTAATCGAATGC